TTGTTACAATTCTAGTTCATAATATATACATATATTTCGGTCCATATTTATCGTAAAATTAATATATATTATGTTATACTCGATAAAAATATATTCGCGTATTAATTAAATTTTCGTAAGTCTTAGTATATGGTCTCATTCTATTTTTTTTTTTTAAAAAAAAAAGTCAAAAATAACATAAATAATCAAATATTATATCTATGAATATACAATATTATAAATAGTTATATAAAAGTATATTTTAAATATATATTATAGTTTTTTTTTCAAATATATATTTGAGTGATTAAAATATAACAATATTTAAACTTGTTATGTGAATTTGTCCTACTCTTTGTTGTTCTAAATTCATTTATTTTTCGATATGTATTTCAATTTATTATGTTAGTTTCATTACTTTGTGATAGATTTATTTTAGGTTTTGAATGTTAGGATTATACTGGTTATATTAGAATACTCGTTTAATGGGTAAAATTTTTATATTTTATTTGAAAATCACGAGTTTAAATTTTAATAAAATGACAGCAGTGGAATTATAATATTTGATTCAATAAAATCAATAACTTAATTCATTAACGTATTAATGAGACTAAATTGAACTAAATATAAGCAAAATTATTGTGTATTTAGACAAAATAAACATTTTATATCAGATAGAATTTTTTAATTAGAGCAATAACAATGAGTTAAAAGTACTGTTGTCTTATTTTTTTTTATTATAAAGAGAGACAAAAGCTAAGAAAATTAAGAAGTCGTCGTGTACATTCTGAACCAAAAAAACGTTCATGATATTATCAGTGAGAAGCTGTCGAATATCATACGGTACTTGAGCATGTGAGTGGAGACTCATCTGAAGGGATAAGCCAACATTCGTCAATCAGTCAGTATATTTGTTCTCTTCGCGTTGAATTATCTGGTAACAGATGGGTTTTGATTGGCCTTCAAACTCTTCAAATATAAATGCATCAACTGTTGGTATATACAGCATTATACATACATACAGACATATACATACACGCCCACATATACATATATGTACACACGTACCATGCTTCAGAATTGATCCATTCATGCTTCCCTTATGATGGAATATCAGAACCCATGAAACTATAATATTCAGGTTTGATAAATTTTTGGTATATAAATATATTTAATATACATGTATTTTTTTTATGATTTAATAAAAAATACAGTTCATGTACTTTAGGGTTTAAAGAATTCATGTTAAAAGAACAAACTTTCAATTTGGTATGTAAATCAAAACCTGATATACACGAAAATATAATATATTTCGATATTATGATTTCTTGTAATAGAAGAAATATACTAATTATTTAATTAAATAATAGTTAATAAATTAAATTATGATTAATTAGTAGGTTAGATTATTTTTTTTAAGGGTATGGATTTGAGTTTTAAACTATATGTATATCATAATTGATAATTAATTAAAAAAGATAATTGGGAAATAATGAGAATTAAAATTTCTGAATTGAAGTGAGTATTGAGCACCAAACCCAAAGCTGTGTTACAGAAAATGACAGAACTAGTAGAGTGTAGTCCACTGTGACCCAAGTTGGCTAGCCATTGGTGACTTCCCGGAAGGCATCAAAGGGGACTGAGCCTCCTTATTTATTGAGTCTGGTCCTATCCAAAGGCGCACCATTAATGAATCTCTCGTGTCTGAGTTCTGCACCAACAGCCCACCAGCTGGCTCTAATTACTAGTCTCCCCAAATGAAAAATAACCCAGAAATCTATTCATTGCACCCAAAAACAATGAGTAAAAAATTTTCGATGGCATTACCTATTTTTGATGAAAAATAATCGGAAACAAAAATATTATGTTCTTTTTTTTATTGGAATGAGAATCGATTAAGTAGAATTACGTAGTGAATTTTACTTTTCCGTAATCTTTATCATTCAAAATCATAGAGTGACGAGTCGTCTGACGTTAAAAGGGAAGATATCATTACAATTGCCGTCAAGAAGACGTCTCGCGATGATGAGATTAGCAGAATCCGAGGGATGAAAGGCATCCCAGAACACGTACTTTGATCTGTCCGGACAAACTTTAGATGGAGGTCCACACGGAATCAACCCGCCAAATCTCCCCGCGAGATAGCAGCACGACGAATCGGAATTTTCGAATCCTGTTGAGCGCCAAATTGAATTATTCATCCATTTATTGAGAGAGTGTGGAGAAAAAAGCAATCTAATTTGAGATTCATACCATACGATCTGGAATTTTGAATTATGTCATCCACAATGCCATAAACATTTGCATAGGCAAATTTTGACCCCTCCAAATTACTACTAAGCTCTTGTATGAGGCTTCTCAGCTGAGTGTTGAACATCTGAGCCAGCTGATTTGGGTAACTGAAGCAATTATTTCCTGCCTCTGGATTTAATTCTCTCTGGAAAGGTATACATCCAATCGGTCCAACATTTGCTACAATTATTTTTTGAGCACCCAACATATATAATCTCTGTGGAAAAAAAAAAAAAAATTTACATTAAAAATATGTTTTTAATTCATATATCTTTTTAATATTATATGACTTTGAGCAAAAACTATCCCACATGAGTAGAGGATTATTATTGCTTTAGGACTAATGGGTAAATGGGTAAGGGTAATTAGCAAAGATTATTAGTGATTTAGGGTTAATGGGTAAATGGGTAAGGGTAATTAGTAAAGATTATTTGTGATTTAGGGTTAATGGGTAAATGTGTAAGGGTAATTAGTAAGGATTATTAGTGATTTAGGATTAATGGGTAAATGGGTAAGGGTAATTAGTAAGAGGTAAAAAAAAAAAAATTACAGAGATTAGGGTTGAATTAAACATACAGTGAGTTGTAATCTGAATCTTGAAATCATGGTTGCTACAAAAACTTGAGGAGAAACAAGTTTCTGCTCCGGGACTGAAATAACTGGTGTTAAGTAATTATTGATAAAATCATTTGAACCAATTGTGATTGAGAACAACCCATTTTGAAGAAGCTCTAGAGTTGCAGAAACTCCAATGGCGGATATTATATCTTGTCTGGTATTTGCAAAGTTATCTATCTGTGCATCCAAGTTAATTCTCCCACCCTGTAATAATTAATTTTCACGTAGAAAAAAAAAAACCCAAATCAATATCGTATTACACGACTGATAATTTAAATTTCACAGCAGTAAATTCTTGTTGTTTTTTTTTTTTTTTTTTTTTGGGTTTTGCTTACAAAAATTTTGCCAGTGTGATTGAGAATTCCACCACCACCAGAAGCATAATTGACGCCGTGAACGAGCACAGAAATCCCTCTGGTTGAACGTGCCAAGTAAAGTGGAGTAAAGCCTTGAAGACCCAGCTCCTGACCTGTTCGTCAACCCCCCCCCCCCCAAAACCTCTGCACAATTTAGAAAAAGAAAGTTGACCGCAAAAAGAAAAAGAAAAAGAGTAGAGCTCACCTATAATGTCAACGATGGTTCTGCCATTGGTGAAGCGTCCGGTTGGTTGACCAAAGTCAATGCCATTGGGGACATAGTTAGCCTTGGAGAGCGAAACGATGTAGTTGTTGTTTCCCACGTCGACTAAAGAGTCGCCGAAGACGAAGTTTGCAGGAACATTAATGGCGGAACCACTGAGTCCAGACTCAGTTAACATCAAGAAGATTGATAATATTAGCTTTGACAAAATCCCAACGATCAATACTTGCTTGTTTGAGAAGATATCCATAAAAGAAGACAAGTATCGAGCACTACTTGTCCGTCCTTTATTTTTTTATCGTGTTTCAGAATCCGTTTGGAGAAGAAGAAGAAGAAGGGATAAGGAAACTCAGAGAATGGAGAAGTAGAAAAATGAACTGGTTAACGTTGTGTACAGCCAAAACCAGTTATCCCCATGGTCGGAACTTGCCCTCTGTGGGGCTTAAGTGATCTCCAAAGCTAGTTGGCTGTGGTAGATAATATTACACCTATATCTATACGGGATTAAATTCTAGGTATCCTCGAAATCGAACCCGTTCAATATCCGAAGATCTAATTATTCTTTTTATTCAATTAATAAGAACAGTTAACACTCGTTCTAATGTTATAAAGTAATATAACTACGTTAATCTTTGGTCTTAATTTTTCTTAATATTTGATTTGGGCTTACCATATTAACATTAATCTTAATTACAAATAGTTTTAGGGTTAATTGATTTGAATAAGAATTTGTGGACTTGGATATATATACATATATATATATATATGAGCAAATGTTTCAACGTGTAAATTTATTGGATAGGACCCTCAAAGAATATTTTTGGATCTGAATATTGAATAGTCTTGAGCAACCCCATTATCAATGCACCACCTTTTTCAGTGAAGAAATTTTTTACTTTATTTAAATTTCACAAATTTAATGTTTGTGAACACTTTATAATATTTGATTTAATAAAATTAAAAATTTAAATTCATCGATACGTTGGTAAAACTCGTCAAATTTAATTTCAAACATAATAAATTATATTATGATTATACTTATTTAAGATCATACAAAGACGTCTGTTGTACAATAAAATCTCGTTAAATATGCGAAACTCGTCACTCGATACGTGTATCATGAGTTGACGATAACTGATTTATAAGTATTAACGAATCTGTTATATTTTTTAAAAAAATAAAATAAATATTTTATTATAATTAAATTAGATAATTAAAATAAATTAAAAAATAAAAAGTAAATTTTTTGTGCGTGATTAAAAGGAAAAGACATATAGACCTTTAAATTTTGCCAACTATAACCAACAACCCTATCTTCCAAGTCAGTCAAATATCTCCCAAACCACCGTAGAGCTAATGCTACAAATTAATGCACTTATAGTACGGTCCATTTAGTATTATTGTACACAACCTAACCCAACCCAACCAAAATTATTTAAAAATTAAAATTTGTTAATATTTGAATTCTTAATTTTTATTTTTAATATATATATATATATATATGATATAGCATCTTATAATTTGAGGTTTCTAATTTATAATATTTTTTAATAATTTATTATACCATAAGTAAAATATTAATCACATTTATTTCTCGTAATCATAAAAGAATTTAAAAAAAAAAATTAAATGATGCACTCGTCGTATAGCTCGTTAACCACTTTGACTAATATCTATGAGAATTAAAAAACGTTTAATTCAATTTATCTAAACTTAATTTTGTACATTTTTTCGTTAAATTACGAGTTTTATTTGAATATAACTCGTATTGATAGAGAAAAAGAAATAAATAATTAGATTTAATTTTTTAGAACTCATTCCAACATGGTATATATATATATATATATATGTTTTTTAAAACTTTTATTACTATGAATATATTTATATTTATATTACTAAATATAAATCTTAAGATTTATCTATTTCGAATTGAATTTTGTCCATGGTAAAAGAGTGGGTTCAAATTTGGCCTTCAAGAATCGGTTCAAACCCAACACGTGATGTGTGTATATATATATATATATATATTTTTTAATTTTTTATTGTTACGAGTATATGTATTTTATTAATAAATATAATTATATATATCAATAGGCATATTTTAAATTTATTCCATGGATTCCTTCCAATCTCCTTATTTTCAAATTTCATTAGAAATTATATAAAAAAAATTTCTATTTGATTTAGCTATTTGTACAAATATTTTACGATTAATTTAAGAAGCAACTGCTTCTTGTACAGATTGTGTATAAATCTATTATAACTATAGGATATCCCATCACCGTGAATTACTGCATGTATTCGAGTTATCCACAAATGACGAAAATCTTATTTTTTTTTTCCTATTTATTGTTATAAATATAATTATTTTTATATTAATAATAAAATAATTAAACCAAATTTAAATTAAATAGTTCATAATTTTGAAATTATTGAAAATAAATAAAT